CAAGAGGGCATTGATGTCTGCAAGAAGGCGGTGGCTGAATCCGACAAGGTGTTAAGTGCGGACATTGTGACCGAGTGGGACTTAGAGCTGAATGCCGCACTAACATTGCGCTGGGTCATCGACAGGGTGGAAAATGGCATCTATACCGTCGATGAGCTGCGCATCTTTCTTTTGGAAAAAATGGAGAAGCATCGCCTCAACCCTGAGATTAAGAATGCCCATGTCCCAGCAGACCAAGATGAGCGGGATTTTGCCGACCGACTTCTAAAGCAGAAGGAAAGTCGGATGCTGGAGTTGGATATGGTGCCTTTGTCGGAGGAACGTAGAGCCAAAATTCGTCGGGCGTTCGTGGATATGGTCCTTGAGGTGGAAAAGACCAAAAAACCCGACTTGGCGAACATATGTGTTGAGGCGATTGCTGAGGCGTTCGTCATTGAAACTCTGGAAAACTTATCTGACGAGGAGCTCATGGAGGCAATTACCGGCTTTGCCTTGAGGAAAGTGGCAGAAGACGACGCCAAAGCCAAAGGGTGGTTGACTAAACTGATCCCATCCGATGACGATCGAGTTTTACACGAGGATGATGACGTCCCCATCATAAAAGAAAGCGACGTCGTCTGAGCAATGGAAGAGAAGGAAGAGGAGGTAATGCAGTGCTTGGGCGAGAGACTGATAAATCATTTGGATGCTGCGGATAAGAATAAGGCTGAGTCCGAGAATCCTCAAGCTTCCACTGTGGGAGAAGCGTCGTCATCGGGGACTAAGAAAGATGAATGAAATCTGTTATCTCTCTTTTCCTTTCTTTTTCTTCTTTTTTTTTTTCGAATGTAATGACAGTTTCCTATGATTAATGAAATTTAATGTTTTGGTTTTATGTTTCATGTATGTATTGTTTTGACATTTATTGTACCAAGTCAAAACATGTCGGAGGAAGATAAACGAACGTTCAATGGATCATGCTCGTAATCATTCCAACGTGATATTTAATATTTACATTGTCTTGTCTTGAGTTTGGTTAAATTTTTGGTGTCGGCACAATTTATAGTTTATCCGACATCTGCAAACTCTTTATTGGAACAAGTCATAAAAGACTTGCTTTTTACTGTAAACACTTATTGCGAGCTCATCAAATCAACGTCGGGATTTGATATTATAGAGCATAAGCCTCCCCACACCAACTTCAGGGCTTGGAAGTATCCGGCTTTGTCGCGTTTGGCCAGGTCATACCGACTTCAGGGTATGAAACACGTTTAGCCTTAGCAACGAGGACCGATTTATTGTGGTCCGAGTGATCGAACAAATTATAGAGGTTCGTCATACAAATTTTATTGATAGCAAAATATGGTTCTTGTACATGAGTAGGACAAAAACTTTTTACACGTCAGGGAGAGAACGTTGGCCTTCAAGTTTACTGGTAGTACTTTTTTAAATAGGTTATATGCCAAGGATACTGAAGGGGAACACCGTCTAGAGTTTCAAGTCGGTAGGTACCATTAGAAATCAGATGATTTACTTTAAAAGGTTCCTCCCACTTCGGTTGTAACGGGCCGACATTGGCCCCAGTGACTCTTTTCAGCACAAGGTCTCCTTTGACAAATGAGCGTGGCTTGAGTCTTGAGTTGATGTACTTTTCACTACGTCGTTTATAAGCGGCATTTCGAATTTCAGCATCAGCCCGTAACTCATCGACCAAATCGAGATTGGCTTTCAAGTTTGCCGAGTTGGTTTCTTCAGAGAAGTGAGTGACCCGATATGTCGGAGAAGCCAGTTCAACCGGTATCACAGCTTCAGTCCCGTATGCTAACGAAAACGGAGTTTCTCCAGTCGAATTTCTTGTCGTCGTCCGGTAAGACCACAGGACATAAGGCAATTCGTCAGGCCATGATCCCTTTGCAGCCTCGAGCCGAGTTTTCAGACCGTTCTTGATAATTTTATTTACGGCTTCTATCCGTCCATTAGCTTGTGGATGATAAGGTGACGAGAAAAAGTTCTTGACGCCGTAATCTTCACAAAAGCTTTCAAATCGCTTCCTTTCAAACTGACGGCCATTGTCGGTTATGATGGAGTTCAGAATTCCAAACCGACAAACGATTGATTTCCATACAAAATCAATCATCTTCTGTTCCGTTATAGTTGCGAGAGGTTCAGCCTCTACCCATTTAGTGAAGTAATCAGCAGCTAATATTGCAAACCGAACACCCCCTTTTGCTGTTGGAAGTGGGCCGATCAAATCAATTCCCCATTTTGCAAATGGCCATGGGCTATAAATTGACTTGAGGAGTTCAGGATGTTGATTAATGTTAGGGGAAAATATCTGGCATTTGTGGCATTTTCGCACCCAGTCTGCGGCATCTTTTCTGATAGTCGGCCAGTAGTAGCCTTGCCGGAGAATCTTGTGGGACAAAGCTTGAGCTCCTTGGTGGGTACCGCAGACTCCTTCGTGTACTTCTTGAAGAACTCGTTGGGCGTCAATTTCTGACAAACACTTAAGCAATGGGGTAGAATATCCACGCTTATATAACGTTCCCTGATCAATAGTGAAATGAGCAGTACGAACACGAAGAGTGCGAGCTTCTTTCGGGTCTTCAGGTATGGCCCCGGTTTGAAGATAGTCGACGATCGGATCCATCCACGTCGGATTTGAAGTTGGTGGGGCGGCGTCAACCATGACGACGTCTGTAGAGACTGTTGATGAGGTCGCCTGCCGAGTAATTTGCACGAAGTTGACATTATTCAAATCGGTCGGCGAGGCCAAACGTGAAAGAGCATCTGCTTGAATATTGGATGACCGAGGTATATGCTCCAACGTCATTTTAAACCGTGTCAGCTTCTTCTTTACAAGGTCAAAATAAGGCAACAACCGTGGTTCTTTAACTTCGTAAGTACCATTGATATGGCTGACTAGTAACTGAGAGTCAGAAAATACTCGTAGAGAGGAGACATTCATGGATTCGGCGAAGCGTAGACCTGATAAGAGGGCCTCATACTCGGCTTCATTGTTGGTGGCCGGGAAGGTGAATGCTACAGAGTAGCAAAACACTTGCTGATCAGGACTAACTAAGACAATCCCTCCTCCAGCTCGTATAGCGGTGGACGATCCATCGACGTAGAGAGTCCATGTCGGATCTTCAATGGACGCATTGACAGTGGGAGTAAATTCAACAATGAAATCAGACAACACCTGAGCTTTGATAGCAGTTCGTGGACGGTACTGAATATCAAACTGTCCCAATTCTATCGCCCACTTAATCATTCTTCCCGACGTGTCAGGTCGGTGAAGGACTTGTCGGAGAGGATATGTTGTAAACACGATAATCGAATGTTCCAAAAAATACGGGCGCAACTTCCGTGCAGCGGTGATCAGAGCAAAGGCTAACTTCTCCATATATGGATATCGCAATTCAGCGTCATGCAGAGCCTTGCTAACTTAATATATAGGGAACTGTTGAAGCCTGTCTTGTCGTATAAGAACGGCACTAACAGCAACGTCACTTACACCAAGGTACAAATACAGAGGTTCATCAAGAAGCGTTTTCTGCAACGTCGGTAACCGTGAGAGAACTTCTTTGATGTTGTCAAAAGCATTCTGACATTCTACGGTCCATTCAAACGGCTTCTTCTTTTTGATAGCGTCAAAGAACGGCTTGCAATGATCTGTCGACTTTGAAATGAATCGATTTAGAGCTGCCAGTCGACCAGTTAAAGCTTGGACACCCTTAACAGATGTCGGGGGAGCCAGGTCAAGTATGGCTTGAATTTTAGCAGGATTGGCTTCGATCCCTCTTTGACTCACCATGTATCCTAAAAACTTCCCTGATCCAACTCCAAAAGTACACTTCTTGGGGTTAAGCACCATAGAATATTCTCGGAGAATATCGAAGACCTCGGAAAGATGGGCGATGTGATCAGAGGCCTGTTCCGATTTCACTAACATGTCGTCCACGTAAACTTCCATCGTGTGGCCGATCAAACGAGCAAACATCTTATTGACCAACCTTTGGTACGTGGCTCCTGCATTCTTCAATCCAAAAGTCATCATGACATAGCAATAAAGGCCTCGAGCTGAGTAGAACGAGGTGTGTTCAGCATCATCAGGGTGCATGGGAATTTGGTTATAGCCGGAATAGGCATCCAAGAAACTCATGAGTTGATGTCCCGATGTAGCATCTACCATGTAATCAATGTGTGGAATGGGGTAGCTATCTTTCGGGCACGCTTGATTCAAATCTGAAAAATCTATGCACAGACGCCAAAGGCCGGTGGCTTTCTTGACCAAGACAGGATTCGATATCCACGTCGGGTATTTAGCTTCTTTAACAAACTTATTGTATATGAGCTTGTTTACTTCCTCTTCAAGGGCTTTCTGGCGATCTGGGCTGAATTTCCGGCGTTTCTGGATAACGGGCTTGACAGTCTTATCCTAATTCAAACGATGACACGCTTTCTGCGGGTCAATTCCTTTCATGTCTTCATGCTTCCAAGCGAATACGTCGGAGTTTGACTGAAGGAACTGAATTAAACTCGACCGTATGGGTTCTTGAAGGTTGGCTCCAATGCGCAACGATTTTTCTTGAGTCGATCCATCCACGCAAATGGTTTCGACATCTTCAACTGGTTCCGCTCGGACATGATGATTTCCATCTTTGAACAGCATCCATGGGTCCATATCTTCGTGCATGTTTGTGTTCTTCTCATGAAAAGGTTGCCCTTGATCAAGGACTTCAGTTAATGGTTCAGGCAAAACCAACGTCATAGAGATATCGGTATCCGTAAGAGGAATGTCGGTATCCGGAGCGAACTGATCGGTTCTTTCAGCATTAAAAGTTGGATTGTTCAGCTCAACGGAGTGATCAGCATCCTACTCTTCAATCATATGAAAGTTAGGCGAGGTTGAGAGTAACATCAGACTTCGGGCTTCTCGTTGATCTCCATAATGAGTGCCTTCTCCTTCAATGGTGGGGAACTTCAGGGCATAATGGAAAATTGATACAGCAGCACGAAGTTTGTAAAGTGCAGTTCGTCCTATTACAACATTATACTCATTTTGGACATCCAAGACTTTGAAAGTCTCCATAATGATCTTGGATTTTGGTCCAAAGCCACCAAACCGAATAGGGAGCAGTATTTTGCCGACAGGGCAAGAAATGCTTCCATTGAAACCTTGAATTTGGTCGTTGCAAGGCCTAATGTCTGCTGGGTCCAAACCCAATTTTTTGAACGTGCGGAGCATCAAAATACTTGAGTAAGCTCCTGTGTCGACTAGAATCCGATGAACAGGAATCCCTCCAATCGGGGCTGTTATAATAAGGGCGTCGGAATGAGGATGAGCGAATAAATTGGCATCTTCGATACTGAATGTGATGGGACAATTTTGTTTGTTGATGGTATCTCGAAGATCAACATTCATGACTCGTTTCTCGGCATTTTGTGCCTCCCGGGCATAGGCTTTGACTTTCCGTCGGGAAGTATCTAATTGCTTATTATTGGAATTGACTCGAGGTATGTAGTGTGAAGAATCTAAGGCGTCATGTGTTCGGGATTTCCTGCAATTGTCAGTCGAAGTTCCGACATGAGTAGAAAACGTAAAGACCTCCTTATCGTTTGCGCGAGCTCTTTTCTGGTTAACAGGTCGGTTATCATCATCTTCATCATCTGAAAGATACAAGGGCCTTCCTTTCCAGCGGTTATCAAAATTTCGAAACTTTTGAAGCTGAGGTTGTCCGATTAACTGTAAGAGTGATGACAAAAGGCCGAGACACTCATCGGTATTATGCCCCGGAGACTTATGATACGCGCAGTATCGAGTTTTGTCCAGCTTGTCTTCAGGGGTTCTCACAGGCCTCGGGTCTGGAATAATCCCTTTTCCTTTTAGTTCTTCATATATGGTGGCTGCTCCGGCGGAATAAACGGCCTGATAGCCTGTCCTAACATTATCTGAATACTGATCACGAGCATCCTAAGACTCTGGAGTATTTTCATATCCTTTAGAGAAGTTCCGAAACTGTACTTTCCCAAAGTTCTTCTTATTCTTCTTTTTGGCGTCCGGTTCAGTCTTGCTTTCTTTCACCGAGAAGTCGAAACTGGGAACCGACATCGACTCTTCAGCAATAATAAATTGTTGAGCTCGCACAAGAAATTCTTGAAATCCAGCAGGTTTATTTTGGCACAAGGTCCAGCGAAACATTGAGTTGGGCTTCAGTCCAGCAATGGCAGTTACTAACAAGGTTTCAGGATGACAAGGCTCCATGTTCTGAATTCGGTCGTTGAACCGAGACACGTAGTCCTTAACAGTCTCGTCGTCCTTTTGCACGATGTTGGTAATTGATTCTTTCGGAATGAGACAAATTTGAGCTCCGATAAAGTGCGATCGGAAGGCCGCGCGTAACTGTTGCCACTTCCAAATCGAATGAGGTGGAACAATATAGTACCATTTTTGTGCTCGTGGCCCCAGTGTAAGCGAAAACATCCGACATCTCAAAGCGTCTGAGGCACCATGTAGATCCATCCACGACGTATAATGGCCCAAGTGTGCATCCGGATCCGATGTCCCATCATACATGCCAATTTGTGGAATTTTTACCTTAGCTGGGAGTGCCTCCGCGGTATGTTCCGGAGCTAAAGGGGAATCTGCTTCAATAATTACATTTCCCGATGTCGTGACATGTCGGGGGGAATCTTCCTGTGACTTCTGTCGAGTCTCAAGCTCAGCCAAGCGTTTACGAAGAGTTTCAATTTCCTCCGCGCTATGTCTTGAAAGACGATTCCGTTCAATCTGGCGCCGCAAATCTTCACGAGCGTGAGGCGCTGATGAAACGGGTCTAGGACGTGGCGAAATTCTTTGGTGATGAGCAGAGTGGCTTTATGCAGTCATTTCCTGTACAGGGGGCTCCTCGGGGGCTTGATTGTTCGTTATTGGGTTATCAGTTACACGAGTTAACTCTTCTCGACGTAGAGAAGTATGGTGAGGTTGCGACGTAGCATGAGATGTTGCCGCATGCGTTTCAGGGTCATGACGAGTGTGGGTTGGATGTTCTGTTGGATTAGTGGTTAACGGCATCGATAATGGTACCGTATTCGAGTTTCTGGGCATGGCTCGAGCTATCAACGAGGTTAAACCTTGAATAAACTCTGGGTTTTGAAGAAAGTTCGTGATGTTCGTGACCGGAGGAGGTGGTGTTGCACGCCGCGGAGAATGGTTAGTCGATTGGATCTGGCCAGGATGAGTTGTGTAGTCTCGACCAGACTGCGACATGATGGCTTCGAGCGTGAAAATGGCTTTAACAGTGAAAGTTAACTACAAAACGTGATATGCGCCCTTCCTCTAGCGCCAAAATGTTGTCAAACGGAAATTAACAACTATATAATCAACAGGGATTTGTAGTAAACTCAGGATAAATCAATAAAAGCTTATATGAGCAGTGGAAGAAGATGAAATTTCTTTGAATATTATTGTATGCGTGTCTCTCTCTTGGCTGATTGGAGAACTGTTTTCTCCTTTTATATTTATTTACAACATTTATCTAATATGTAATCATTATACAAGACTAGTCAACGGCGGATAATTGCCATTCATCTTAATGACGTGCCACTTGGCCAGGTGTAATGATGAGTTATGCTGAGTTGGCACCGCCTTTTGATGTCGGTCTAGCTAGTCATAGATATCGGTTTGAGCAGTTATAACCGATATGTCGTATCCGACATGTAGTAACCGACATGTCTTAACCGACATGAGGTATCGGTCAATCGACGAAGATGTCGGTTCTTGATGAATTTTTACCCGACAAGTGATTGTCTTGAAATTAGCGTCAGAACCTTGAGATCCGTAAAGGAAACACCTACTTTATGCAACTTCGATCATCCTTCTACTGAACATAATCAAGTGGTCATCGTCGCTTAATTTGGTTTACTGAAAATGATGTCAACAGTGGGTATTTTTAAAGAAAGATGAATTTTCTCAGAAGAATGATATGCGCTACAAGGCAAGGTTGGTGGCTAAAGGCTACGCTCAAAAGGAAGGAGTTGATTATAATGAAGTGTTTTCTCCTGTTGTTAAACACTCTTCCATTAGAATTTTGTTGGCTTTAGCAGCACAATTGGATTTAGAGCTAGCTCAACTTGACGTGAAAACAACGTTCTTACACGGAGATTTAGATGAGGAAAACTACATGACTCAGCCAGAAGGATTCAATTCTTAGAAAAGAGAATTGGGCCTGTAAGTTGAACAAATCGTTGTACGGACTGAAGCAATCTCCGAGGCAGTCAAACGGCTTGATAAGTTTATGATTGGGCAGAAGTACAAACGACAACAAACATGATCATTGGGTGTATTTACGCAAGTTGCAAGATGGATCTTTCATGTACTTACTCTTATATGTGGATGACATGTTGGTTGCATCAAAGAGCCAAGTGGAGATTGATCAATTGAAGGCTCAGTTGAATCAAGAGTTTGAGATGAAAGACTTGGGGGAAGCTAAGAAGATACTCGGGATGGAGATAAGCAGGGACAGAGTGAGAGGCAAGCTTTGCTTGACTCAAAAGCAATATCTGAATAAGACACTGCGGCGTTTCAGCATAAAAGATGAGTCGAAGATTGTAAGTACACCACTTTTCCCTCATTTTAAGTTAAGTGCCCTATTATCACCAAATTGTGATGAAGAACGAGAGTACATGACTAGAGTCCCATATGCAAATGTAGTTGGCAGTTTGATGTATGCGATGGTGTGTACAAGGCCCGACATTTCACAAGCAGTTGGTGTTGTTAGCAGGTATATGCATGACCCTGGTAAAGGTCATTGGCAAGCTGTGAAATGGATTCTATGGTGCATTCATAGTGCTGTAGACGTTGGATTAGTTTATAAACAGAATGAAGTTGGTCAATGTGTAGTTGGATATTGTGATTCTGACTATGCAGGTGATTTGGATAAGCGAAGATCAACGACTGGATATTTGTTCACTTTTGCAAAAGTTCCAGTCAGTTGGAAGTCTATCTTACAGTCAACTGTTGCTTTGTCTACAACAGAGGCAGAGTATATGGCAGTTACTAAAGCTGTGAAGAAGGCTATTTGGCTTCAAAGCTTGCTTAAAGATTTGGGAGTTGGTCAAAAGCACGTCTTGGTGCATTGTGACAGTCAAAGCGCTATTCACTTAGCGAAAAATCAAGTATTTCATGCAAGAACGAATCATGTTGATGTTCGCTATCACTTTGTGCGGGAGATTCTAGAAGATGGAACTATTGTGTTGAAGAAGATCAAGACCACGGAGAATCCTGCAGATATGATGACCAAGGTAGTGGCAGCAGTCAAGTTTGAACATTGTTTAGACTTGACCAACATTCTGCATATTTGAGTTGGCGCCGAGATGCGCATTTGGAGGCACCGCTAGCAGTTGAGTTGGAAGTGAGAGCAAAAATTAGTCAAGATGGAGAATTGTTATATTTTGATTAAGTTTTGTCCCACATCAGATGTATACCAAAGATGTGTAGGATCTTATTAGTATAAATAGGTCCCTTGCCTTTGGGTTACAATTGCACCTTATTCTATTCTCTCCTATTTAGAAGGAAATCCTTAATTAAGAAAATTCTAATTTGTGGGTTATTTAACCCTAGTTGTATTTTGTTGGTGAGTCTAGTAAATTTGGCGTTGCGGTTGGCGGTGCCCGGAAACGTAGGCTATTTTCGCCGAACTCTGTTATCAATTTTTATGTTCTTTTTTTTCTCTTATTTATTTGTATCGGCTTATTTTCGTTTGGAGTAGTGCTTGTCATATTAATTGAAGGGGTATTTTTATCCGCTGCGCTTGTTGTGATATCCCAACATTAAATACTTTATTTCGTGTTATCTTCATCTTTAGCCAAACACATTAAGTCAAAAGAATTTATGTTATTGGGCTAAAGCTGATTCCACATTTTCAAAGAGACCATTTACCTATATTTGTCTCCGTATAATGAGATAGAAGATAAGAGATAAATGCAGACACGTAGTTAAGTTTGAAATCATTTAACTGTAGAGAAAAAAATTTGTCTGCCAAGCTCTCCCTTATAAAGAGATACTACGGTCTCGTTACAGAATTATTTTGTCGTATTTGTAATCGTTAGATCATTATGTAATCATAGGAGATGTTGATCTAGCGGCTACAAACCTCGACGGAATAGTTCCGTTAATATCACCGCTTATTTTATATCGAACAAATGGATGCTACGATAAAGACAGAGTAGAAGACCAATAGCACCGTATTTAATTTGTAATTAATAATGTCATCTTTGCACTATAAAATATAAGTAGCGCCCTATATAGTTGCTTGGAAGTTCGATCGTGCTGTGCAAGCGTCACGGACATATATCTTAGAGTTTATATAACAGCCATCTATGTATTAATTAATTTATTTTCATTTTGACAAATTATTAATTTATTATTCGAAAGTATTAATAAAAGTGATAAATTTCTCTGCAAAAGGAAAAAAA